TGTAACAGGCAAAAGGAAACGAGATAGACCCATAGTTCCTTTTGATGATCTGCATAGAATCACATTCTGAGTCGATTTATGCATTCCCTCTGTCCGTCTGTCCATGTATTTTTGTAAACAAAGTACAGGTCGCATTTATTGCCCGATCCAGATGAAATGTTTCACAGATCATTTGTTTGGCCCAAGGACGAAACCTATTGAAATTGGAGATAATCGGTAACAATTTAGATATAGCTCCCACATATATCTTCGTCCGATTTGCTTTTTTTTTGTGCACGGAACGTGTAATATCAGCCCGAATTGTATGGAATTTTGCATATACACCCAAATTAGGCCTGAAAATATGTATGCCAAATCTGATCAAATCGGTTCAGATATAGCTATAGCTCCCATATATATTGTTCATCCGATTTGTTACTTTTGTCCACCGCCGCCGTAATATGCACTCTGCAACAACAATATTTGGGGAAATATATCAAATACAGCTCAGAAATACATTTGCCAAATTTTATCGAGATCGGTTCAGATTTGGATATAGCTCCCATATATAACTTCGTCCGATTTACCTTTTATTGTGCACCAAACGTCTAATATTTGTCCAAATTGGATGGAATTTGGCACTTACGACCGAATTGAGTCTAGAAACTAGTATGTCAAATTTGGTGAAGATCGGTTCAGATATAGCTATAGCTTCCATATATATTATTCGTCCGATTTGTTATATCTGTTACCCACAACCGTAATATGCACTCCGTAACAACGATATTCAGGGAAATATATCAAATACAGCCAAATTTTATCGAGATCGGTTCAGATTTGGATATAGCTCCCATATATATCTTTATCCGATTTCAAATTAATTGTGCACCAAATGGGCAATACAATTCCGAATTTAAAAGATACAAATGCTTCGGCATATTTAGTCCTTTAACTTTAAATTATAATTATAATCATGGCGTGTATGATTGAATTCTCCCATAAAAACTTTTAATTGTTATGTGGAGCTCTACTAAATTAGGAAAGTGGTGTAGGGTATCATAAAGTCGGCCCCGCCCGACTTTAAGACTTTCTTTACTGGTTTAAATTTGAAGTAATTTTTAAACAAATGATAGGTTCTAAAAAAGATTTTTTCTGGGGAATAAGAGGCCTTCTCAAGATGGAAGATTATCAACGAGCTATTATAGGCACAGAAACTTATTTTGGGTTGGAGTTCTTCCAAAGATAGCATATCTTTAATGGTCTTCTAAAGATTCAAAGCTTGTAAAGGATCGAAGAAGTCGTCTTTCCAAAATGACAACTACTATTGATAAAGGATACAGATAAAAGAAAATCTCCAAAATGTATTTTTCTTTATTCGAAGGCTTCAGAGTGGTCTTCCTCAGCAACAATTTTTAAAGTGGAGTAGGCACCAGGAGGATTTTGCTATTAAGAGTATTAAATACCCAATTTGAATCAATTTCGTGAAAATGTTGGCTAAAAAAAAACAAAACACCCAATATCAGGGCCATAAAGGAAAATCCGGACCTACAAAGACAATGCTCTGCCACCGGAGCTAGAACTCATTACTGTTAGAAAATGTGGCTTATATCGTCAAAATACCGAATATCAGGTAATATCGGGATTAAAAAAAGTGGACTTATGTGGACAATGTTTTGGCAACGGAGCTAGAACCCGTTGGAAACCCTAATTATCAAATTTAGAGCAATTCCGTGGAAAATGTTGCTAAAATCAAATCAAAATACCAAATATCGTGAGATACCGTTATATGAGGGCTATACGAAAACATGGACCATTTCCAAACTTAATCTGCCTACCAAATTTGCAACAATTCCGTGGACAAATGTGAAACTCCAAAAATTTTGAGGCGAGCAAACACGTGAGTGACTTATTGGATCCACGCAGTCCCGGAATAGGCGTCTGTTTGGAATTTTTGACCAGCTCCGAGGAAGGAACGCAAAGTTTGATCGAGGTAGCCTATTGGGTCTACGCGGTACTGGAATAAGAATCTGTTTAGAAATTATGACCACCTCCGGGGAAGATACGAACAGTTTGATCCTGGTAACCTATTGGGTCCATGTGATCATGGAATAGAACCCTGCTTGACCTGCTACGGGTAGGTAAGAAAACGTGGATCCAGTTGATCAATTGCTGTCCCAGAATAGAACGCTGTATGGAAATTTTGGAAGCACACAAACGAGTGCCTAGGTGACCTTTTGGGTCCACGCAGTCCCAGAATAGGCGTCTGTTTGGAATTATTGACCAGCCCCGAGGGAGGTACGCAAAGTTTGATCCAGGTAGCTTATTGGGTCTAAGCGGTACTGGAGTAAGAATCTGTTTGGAAATTTCGGCCATCTCGGAGGGAGGCATGAATAGTTCGATCCAGGTGAACTGTTGGGTCCATTCGATCATGGAATAGGACTCTGCTTGACTTGCTACGGAGAGGTATGAAAACGTGGATAAAGTTGATCTTTTGCTGTCCCAGAATAGGACCCTGTATGGAAATTTTGGAAGCACACAAACGAGTGCCTAGGTGACCTTTTAAGTTCACGTAGTCCCGGAATAGGAATCTGTTTGGAAATTTTGACCAGCTCCGAATTAGGTACAAAAGGGTGGAACTAAGTGGCCTATTGGGTTCACACGGTCCTGAAATAGTGGCGTGTTTGGATATTTTGACCAGCTACGGAGACATACGAAAAGGAGGATCCATGTGGTCTATTACTGTTCTAAAGCAGAACGCTGTATAGAAATTTTCTGCATGGAAACTGGACCTAGGTGACCAATGACCGTTTTTCGGTCCACATTTTCGTATCTCCCTCATATTTTGACCTTGTTTAGAAAATGTTGACAAGTTTCGGAGGAGGAATAAAAGCGAGGACCTGGAAAACACCATGGCCGCTTTTGGATCTATGTTTTGTACCTCCAGGTTTGGACCCTCTTTGGAAATGTTCACCATAGGTCACGCTTTTCGTGAATGACGAACAGTCCAGTAGGATGTACCGAAACGTGGACCTACATGAACTATGGATCCTTTTTTTCCCACGGGGCCCTTAATGCTTCCTTTTGGGAGTTTCCACCAGTTCCTGGCCTATGGCTTCTTTTTGTTTCACGTGCCGATACCACGAACGGAATTTAATCGTTTTTTAAAATTTTTATCATTTTCGGGGGATGTACGAAAACCTTAGTGACCTATGGCCCCTTTCCGGTGGATGTGCGAAAACGTAGACCTATATGACATATGTTCTCTTTATAAAAATTTCGAAAAGTCCAGGAGGAGACAGGAGTTTCGACCAGTTCCTACGAAACCAGTGGTTCTTTTTAGATTCAGGCGTTCGTACCTTTCCCTGGAATTGTACCTAGTTTGAATAATTTTCACGATTGCTGGGGAGGTACGAAAAACGGATACCTAGGTGACATATAGCCCTTTTTCGAGAATATAACCCTTTTTGGAACTACAATTTCGAACAGTCCAGGTCCTTTTCGATCTTTCGATCCTTTGTGAGGTGCTCAAACCTTTCCCGGAATTACGAACAGTTTGGAAATGTTGACATATTGGCCCTGATCAGCCCACGTGGCCGGTACTGGTCCTTTTTGGGAATTTATGTCAGTTCCTAGCTGACCTATGGGTCCTTTCCGGTGAGGTGTTTAGACCTCCCCCAGGAATTAGACCTAGTTTCGAAACTATGGCCATTTCTGGGAAAATGTATACCTTAGAGACGAATGGCCCCTTTTGAGAATTTAAAACAGTCTAGACGGAGGTTCGATAAGGTGGACCTAGGTAACCAATGGGTTCTTTTTGTCCATGCGGACCCAGTAATGGATAAATTCCTAGTTGACATATAGCTCCTTCACGGTCTACGTACCGGGATATGCCCGGTTTTTTTTTGGATATTTTAACCAGTTCCGGCAGAGGTACAAACAAACAGAGAACTAGGTGACCTATAGTCCTTTTTGGAAAATATTGACCATTTCCGGGGGGATAAACGTAAACGGAAACCTAGTCCCCAAAATGTTGACCTTTTGTGATGAAGGGGGGGGGGGGGGGGGCACCAGAACTCAAGTGCCACCAGAACTCAAGTGCCGGCCGGCATGGTGCGAGTTGCCTTAACAGCCGATGGTCACTCTTCGCTCGTATTAATCGACCATGGCATCAGAATAAATGCCGAATATTATCGCGAAAATAGTTTGGAGGGTGTATTAAAGCCTAGGGCACGCAAACATTTTGGCACGCGCCACCCAAGAATGGTTACAAAATGAGGTTCCTCGCTTCATTTCCAGCGCACAATGGCCACCAAAATTTCCGGATACCAATCCGTTGGACTATTGTGTCTGGAGTATTTTGGAAAGCAAGGTTGGCACTAAAAAATACCAAAGTTACGATCACCTCAAGCAAGCGCTTCGCCGGGAATGGACCAAAAAACCGCAGAGCAACATTCGGACAGCATGTGACGGTTTCATTGGCCGTTTGAGGGCCATAATTCGTGTCAAAGGTAATCAATTCGAACAAATCTAAACTTATTCTAAAATTTAAGCTATTTCCGATATTTTTTGCATTCATTCAATAAAATTTAAAAAAAAAATAAAAGTTATGGCGTTTGACTTTGTTGCAGTTTTTTCATATCACCCTGTGCTTTCATAATCTGCCGAGTTTTTCTTGAAATTATTTTTGGTATTGCCTAGTGAAATATAAGACTTTAAAGAGTCTGCTATACATTGAAAATCCCCCCAACTTTTTTAATATTTTTCAAGGCCCCTTGGAGGCTTTCTATGCAATGGAGACTATTTCAAAGTTTTCTATACATATTAGAATATTTTGACAAAGACTTGCATTTCTGAAAGCGAAGGAAGAAAAGAGTCATAAAAATTTCAACTTTAAGACCCATCTTGAGATTTGACTGTACTCTAATTATACCATAACTTTCACTTAAATAATATTTCACTTAAAATAAATCTGATTTTAATTTTCATTTACTCTATAAAAACGCAATCTCGCATTGACTTACCTTTACATGTGACCCCCTTTATTGAGCGGTGTCTTTTTCATTACCGATGCCAGAGGGAAAGGGAGAAAGAAAACGAAATAAATCCGTAAAATGGGGATGTCGGGAAATTACTTAATATTTGTGTGGTTATTCCTTTGCGGGGCCCATTAATAATAATTTTGGGGGGGGGGGAGGGATTTCTGATGTTTTTATTTCACTTAAGGATGTACTATTTTCTTCTGCACGGAAGAAAAGCCATCATTGATCTCTCTTAACCGATTTCACAGGTATTCGTTTTTCGCAATTGATTTCACTTAAATGGGATTCACTTCGTGTATATGATTATCTTCCATTTTCTTGAATTTTCCACGTAACTTTTTGTTGTTGAAAATATGTATATTGCACAAATCCTATTTCGATTTCATATTTTTTTCTTTTGATATTTATTTTTCAATATTTTTTTAATGTAATTTTCAATGTTGCTTTGATAATTTTTGGCTGTAGAGAACATTTTTTATTTGAGTGTTTTTTTTTTTTTTTTTTTTTGGGGAAAAGTTACTTTGATATTCTTTCATTACATTTTGAAAAATTAAGGGAATATCAAGGAATATATTTTGCAGATACATGTCCGTCCACCATATAACCTGAAATATTGCACTCGTAGACTGGCTGACCGAGAATCAACGCCCAGACGAAATGGCTGAAGGTAAAATCTTCAGCTGTTGCACTAGGATCAGTCTTGGTGCGTAGGCGTGAGATAAGGCTGAGTTTTTCAAATTCGTACTAAAATGGTACGAAAAATATTAAAATGTACTAAAAATTGAATACTTTGTATTGGACAAACGGAGTGATCTAAAATTCTGAAATTTGTAATAAGAGTCACTGGTGAAGGATAGATGTACAAAAAGGGATTTTGGAGATTCGAACTTTAAGACTACGAAAAGTTCTAAAATGGAACTAAACTTCTAAAACGGTACCATTTGGTATTATGTGAATGGATAGAGGTAAAAACTTGAAATTTGGCATAAGGGTGCAAGTACATAAAAGGCTTGAAGTCAAGGCTGGGCATATTAATGTCAAGTTATAATGGATAACGACGGCAGGATTTTAGCGCGGCTCTGTACTCCCCTTATGAAATGTTGCAAAATATGCCTAGCCATGACTTCAAGCTTCTTATGTACTTGCAGCTTAAGAATCAAGGTTGGAAATGAAATTTGATAAATGAAGGTGATTTTCAAAATGTGTACTAAGTGTGCGAACTGTACTAAATGGTACTAAATTTGGGACAGTTTGGCTTAGGGTGAACAGATGAAGCTGGAATTTTGTATTGCGAGCCATATTGGTGGTAGGTTTGTGATGGTTTTGGAAATATGTACTACAAGTGCACGAAAAGTACTATATGGTACTATATTTGGTACAATTTGGTATTGGGTGAACAGATAGGGCTGGAAATCTGAAATTTTGTATTAGAGTCGCTGTGTATGTTTAGCCTGGACATATGAAGGTGGTTTCAGAAATATGGTATTGGGTGAAGGGATAGAGATAGAGTTCTGAAATTTTATATTGAGGTCTCTGGAAATGTAATATGGAGGAGGTTTTTGTAATGTGTGCTATAATTATACAAAAAGTACTAAATGGCACCATATTTGGTATTGGGTGAAGGGATAGAGATAGGATGCTGAAATTTTATATTGAGGTCTCTGTTGGTCTCTGGAAATGTGATATGAAGGAGGTTTTGGAAATGTGTGCTATAATTGTACGAAAAGTACTAAATGGTACTATATTTGGTATTGGGTGAAGGGATAGAGATATAATTGCGAAATTTTGTTATTGAGGTCTCTGTTGGTATCTGGAAATGTGATATGGAGGAGGTTCTGGAAATGTGTATCATAATTATACGAAAAGTAATAAATTGTTCTAAATTTTGTATTGTGTGAAGGTAGAGAACTGAAATCCTGACATTTAATATTGACGTCCTAGTTGGTATCTGGGACTGAGATATAGAGATGGTTTTGGAAATGTAATATATAATTGTTCGAAAAGTACTAAGTGGTACTAAATTGGGTGATTGGATGTCTTGATAGAGCTGGAATACTGAATGTTAGTCCGCCAATTTCACTTAATGATAGTACGCTAGTCGTTTTGTCCTCATGTCTGCGCATTTAATGCTCAAACCTTGAACTCTAGTCTTGCCGCCTCCCAAAGCTTTGCTCAATCTAGATTTATATCACTTGAAATTCGGGCATTTTAGGCTGTTATTTTTTTACCTCTAATCCCAGTATAGCCAAATACCACCGACGGAGCCCGAAGATCATTTTCAAGCTAAATTCTCTACAAAAAAAATCCTACATTCGTGCCAGGTACCCATATGATGCGTAATGATTCACCATTTTTATGGACGTAATGTTAGCGCACTAGCCAGTAGTGCTCCTACACCGAAACTACCACCCGGGCCCGCTTTTGCATTACTTCAAAATTATATCAAATTGGTCAACATTTTTTCATTAAAAAATTGAGAATTGCGACCATCTATCTTTATTTTCCAACATGAGTTTAACCAAAACCTCAATGAACAACTGAGAGGCAAATGTTATACAGACCCCTTTCGTTCTCCCAGCGTGTTTGGTGAAAATCGGTTCAGATGTAGCTTTAGCTCCCATATATATGGTTCATCCGATTTTGCACTCCAAGAGAGTGAGTGCTACTAAATATGCATAGTGTTGTAGGGTATCATATAGTCGGCCCGCCCCACTTTTGACTTTTCATTACTGATTTTATGTTTCGGTTTCATTGACGGAGGATCAACTATTCAAATTTCATTACATGCAAATTTTAGGGATTTTGAGGATAGCCGTCGTTTTTTACTATGATAATGTATCCGGGTCAACGGTGCGATATTTCAAAATATGGAGAGAGAGAGAGAGAGGAAGTCATTGACCTCACCAATAAGGATTTATAATTTATACTAGATTGGAAGGTATTCAAGATCTCCGTAGAAGACATTTATCAGAAACTTCATAGAAACCCCAATTTTCAGATTCTGCGATATGAAGGCTACACCGTTTGGGTGATTTGACCCCAACCTCAATCTTAGATGACGACAACTTTGTAGATGCGATAACGAGCGTTATGCTTGAGTGCTATGAGAAATTCTGTCCGCTTACATACCCTGGCAAAAAACACACACAAGTCTGGTGTCGAAACATCTAGCCAACCTAAGGAAGGATAGCAGAAGATTGTATAAAAGTACCTATAAGACCAAACAACATACGGACTGGGAAGCCTATGAGGTCGGCTTTAAAAAGTACAAAAATGAGAACCAAATTGTCTCACTGAGTCGATAGAGAACATCAATGACGTTGCCAGATTTCGTAAAGTCCTTTCAAAGGATCCTAAATCCATATCAAGTATAAAGCGGGGTGATGGCACATGTGGCTGATTCCGGTCTTGAGACTCTTAATCTGTTATTAAGCACTCAATTCCCAAACAGCTAAGATGCGATAATCAATTGGCAATTCGATCAAAGCAATCGGTATTGCAAAACGGAGAATAGAAATCTGATTGATTGGCCAAAAATCAAGCGGGCCACAGACAGTAGCCCTACAAATCAACCGGACAAGACGGTATTACTTCCGCCATGATACAATAGCTCCGATTCTGGGAGAGATTGTTAGGGTTTGTCTAAATCTAATGCCCATTCCGGTATTGTGAATGGAAGTCACCGTCATGATCAATGCGATCGCTATAGCTTAGCGGAGAATATGCATCTGATTGATAGAATTATAAGCACCCTCCAAAATCAAGTGGGCCATAGACATGTCCAAACCCTTCAAATCATCCGGGTATTATTCCCGCAATGTTACAACATGCTTCGGCGGCAATAGCTCCGATTCTGGGAGAGATTATTAAGGGTCGTCTACATCTATCACACATTCCAGTAGTGTGGAGAGAAGTCGCCGCCACTCACAACCCTAAAATTGGGAAACCAAGTCATTTACTTCCAAGGAACTACAGACCTATTAGTCTCTCCTCCTTTCTATTAAAAATCCTATAAAGGTTAATTGACGTTGACAGCAGACCTCTTTTACTCCCAACTGCAGATCAGCACTGCTCAGCATGCCTGTATAAAAGGTAAATCCGTTGAGACAGCGCAATATGATGTCGTGGGTTACATCGAGAAAAATATAAATGGTTCTCTATTCCCCTTGGCAGTCTTTCTCGATTTCGAGGGAGCCTTTACAAATGTCAGAGTCGAATCCATAACTCTTTTTCAAAGCTTGATTTATCCCAGCTCCTCATAGATTGGTTTGATGCCATGCTCACCAATTCGCAGATTGGGGAGATGTCTATTAGGAGATAGGTTAGGATAGGTTTTCAAATCCAATGCAAGGAGCTCTCGTTAAACTGTTAAGGTGAACACGCAGTAATGGACTAAGCATAAACCCATTAAAACCCGTGCTCGTCCTCTTCATGAGAAAACGTAAACGTCCTGTTTTTTCACCGCCAATGATAGATGGAGTTACGTTGAACTTATCTTCTCAAATACCTCGATACTGATCTCAAAATACAGAGGATCCTGTAAATATAGGTTTAATCGCACTCTACTCTTGTAAGAACTCAATAGGAAAAATATTAGATCTTAATCCGCGTATAATCAAGTGGATATATGAGTCAATTGTTCGCCCGATCCGAGTAATTGGAGCTCTACTTTGGGTAGGTCATCCTACTATCGAGGCATTGATAAAGTCCAAAGTGTTGAATCGTTATTGATCGCAGGTACATTTACAAACACACCTCAGGCCGCAATGGGTAACCTACTTTGCTTGAGTCCATTAAGTCTTTACTAGATGTACCCTTCGAATTTAGGCAATGGCGCAGGCAATCCTTTGGACACTTTGCGACCTTAGGACAAACGGAATGCATAGATGGCGAAATCAAAAACAATGACTACATATCACCACGGTTGAACTTCGAACCACTTGACATCCACATATTTGACAGGGAAGTTTGGACCGGTAACAACCCATTTTTATGAGGTGTAACTGTCTATACCGACGATTCTAAGATGGATTGAGGCACAAGTGCTGGGGTCTTCTGTGATGTCCCTAATATACGCAAATCCTACAAACTAAGCAACGGAAATTAGGCGGAAATCTTTGCGATCCATCAAGCTCTGCTGGCGTCAGGAGATTTCATCAAAAATGGATGAAGGGGTATGTGATGTCCCTAAGAAAATCTGGCTTTTAATCTCCGAGAAAAGAACACGATCGCTTATCTCCATTACCAAACCTGACCTACAGCTTCTGGTTCGAGCTCCAGGTTTAAAAATTCGGCTAACTTAAGGGGATGTAATCAGATATCTTCTGGAGTAAGATGGGTAGGTTTGGCGGGGCAGTTAAAGATTTGCAGCGTGTACTGCTGGCCTGTATCACACGACGGGCAAACATCACGGACATCTTCGTCAATTCACTAGTATTCACAGACCACAATAGAGCCGCATAGCTGACCACAGACCGACCTATCGTGTTGTAAGAGGTCAACATTGTTTCCTTGTCTGCACCACGAGTGCTGCCGGTTAGCGCCTTGAGGACATTATTATACTTTTCATTTCCCTACATATAAATAGAGGATTGAACCAGAACAAGCCGTGCCAAAGAACTGTGTTTGTAGCCCTTGACCTATCAAAGACATTCGATACGGTTAATCATGCCACACTGTTTGAGGATGTGAGGAGAACTACCCACCGGCCAAGTTTGAAACATTGGATAGTCAACTATATCTGTGGACGCCAGTCGTATGTGGTATTCCGGAACAAGAAGTCCTAAGCCCGTGGAGTGAAACAGGAATTTCCTCAATGCATGGTGATATCTCCGAAACTGTTCAACCTCTACCTTTTCGGAAATCCTCTCCATTCAGATGGCATAGAGATCAGTGGTCACATTCGATAGCATGTTCAAATCGTCCGCACAATCCACAGCTATTTGCCACAAGATAAAGCTTCTGGGGGTATCATCACTGCAGATCACTGCAGCGTGAGAGCCATGTCTTCTAAATGGAGTAGCGACGATACTAATGTTTAGGTATAGCCTCCAGGTTTCGATTTTTTAAAGGCTTCTGCCACAACTTTCAGCGAATAACCGTACCTTTCTGTCTCAATTTCCAACCTAATAAGATGATATGGGTTTCGCTTGTTGGGGTATTTCTTATTTTAATTAAAAAGGATTGACATATTTTACTCCGCTCATTATTTCATTTTACTTTGATAATCATAATAGTGGAGGGTATATAAATCACTTTTCACCTATTCAAATTTAAGATGAACCCAAAGGACCAGGAGGTCTCCGAGTGGAGTGGTTAGCGTAGGGCAACCGCACGTCCTTTAGCCTAACCTAATCCAACATAAGGGATCAGAGCAGCTATAGCACAATTCTCCAACTCGTTTTTGGAACAACTCTAGTTTAGTAAGAGCCCCTGATTCCGGGAAACTATTTTCCTCCATTTTTTTTTTTTTTAATTTTTTTTCCACTGGTAGGTATTTGTACCCTGATTCCGGGAAACTATTTATTTTTTGAGGGACGCCAGCTTTTTGACTTATACCAAAATAGATATTATATGTCACATAATGAAGTTATATAAAGTGGTTCGGAAGATATAGTCAAATTATAGATTTTTTCTACCCGGATTTTTTATAAAACCCCCAAAAGGTCGAAAAACGACCCAATATGGCTGATGCCAATTTATAGCTTTTACTCTCACCTTTCTAAAATGCTACCATTTGTGCTAATACATTTTTCGGGTTCAGAGATATGGGCCTTTCCACCCGTATAACCCGATTCTAACCAGTTCATTAAAATTATGTTTGGTTAGGATAGGTATTTTTATAAGCTTTCAAACGATACACATATTGTGTATATCGGATAAGCGGGTCTAGCCCGGGTCCAAACCTGGACTTTCGGGTCAAAAAATCTGGAGTCCTCCAAGAAAAAAAAATTGTTTCCCGGAATCAGGGTAAAAATACGTACCACTGGACAAATTTTCAAAAAAAATTGATTAAAAATAGTTTCCCGAAATTAGGAGAAAATTTCAAAAAAAAAATTGAAGAATTTTTTACTAAACTAGAGTTAAGCCATATTTTTTTCAGTGCTTGTTGGCTTGAAATTCTATAGATATTTCATCAAAGGGCTATCGGTTCTATAATCCCAGCAGGGCCTCAATACTTGTTCTATGAAAATGTGAAATGAAAACTTTTATAGAGAAATGTCAAATGAAAAATATTATAAAGGAAATATTTTTCATTTAATATTTTCATAGAACAAGAATCCAGTCCCAGAACTATTTTATAATCCCACATCTTGATCCAAATCTCATAAATTACTGTTGCGGAAAATATTCATCCATTCCCATAATTTCTTTATTTTATTTAAGTGTTTAAACATTAATTATTCATAACCGTATTTGTTTATTTTCTTTCATTTATTTTCCCATATTTTATTTATTTGTTTTTTGTTTATTATTTGCATTTTTTATACAAATATAAAAGAAAACAACAAATTTACAGAGTAGGATTAGCAATGCATGCAAATTCCCCCACCGCATAACAACAAAACCCCAGCACATTTTCTATGTCGTCATGATAGGCTGCCGCCGTTGTACACAAACACAGCTGAGAGAGAATTTACACTTCCCCTCTCACACAACCAAACAAAACCAATAAAACAAAATGTGTTTGCTTTTGCACCACACAGCAACAACAACATGTGTTGGTCTCTGCAAATTTGCCCCATGCAGAGAGTGTTTGCCAGAGAGAGAGCGGGAGAGAGACAGCGAAAAATACCAGAAATAAACAAATGAGAATTCTCTTTCTTTTTTTCCGTTTTTTTTTTTTGTTGTTTTCTGTTACACTCATTGATTTGATATCTTGTAGATACTTTACAGATTCCGAACGCAAAAAAAGAACACACACACACGCACACCGTTACAAAGGCAACATCAGCGAAAAAAAAATCCATAGATACACATACACAAAATATCGACGACAATGAAAAGCGAAAAAAATTCGCCTTTTATTTGAAAAATTAATAAAAATTCTGAGATATTTATTTCACAGCTCATCACTGTTGTAATGGACCAAAGGATGACAAATGCCAATGGCCTAGGGGAAATGCAAATGTAATGAAAGAAACCAAATGAAATTTCCCAAGAAAAACTCATTAAAAACTGGGCGCGTTTATGGCAATTTTTTCTACTGTGGCACACAACAGAGCAGCACAATGACGACGGCCTCATCGGTCGTTGCTTTCCACATTTTTTTTTTTTTTGGATTTTTTATACAAACATTTTGGCATTTCTTGGCGAAAAAATGGCCAGAAATTGGAAACTTATTTCACCACAAACACGCAACATACAACTTGCTCCGATCCGCACCTTTTGGCCGTACACTAGCTTTACAATGTAGCTACGAATTTTTACATTTTTACGACATTGCAGGGCAATGGATAAAGACGAAGACGCGAGCGACACTACCAACAGCTTGAGGTTTTTTTCTTTGCGATTTTTTCGTCTTGTTTTATAAACTTATTGAATGCATTTTGTTGTTGTTATTATTGCTATTATTTTTTCTTAATTATTTCTTGTTTTGCTGCCTTAATGGCAACACAAAACGCGTTGCACAAACACTCAATCATTCAATTCTCTTGAATTCATTTTTGCTTTGCTCTTTTCTTTCTGATTTTTCTTTTTTGTTTAACCTTAATTTTTATGCGAAAAATTCCAACCGGGAACACAAGGTATCTATAAGATTTTCGGCACAGTACTGGATTCCAATTTACATGAATTGGGAGTCGAAACTGGTACTGTTGGCTGGCTGGCTGACTGGCCGCTCTGTCTGTTGTGTGAAGTGACTTGGCTGAACAAAACAAAAAAAAACATAATGAATAGTTTCGCCTACTCTTGGTGGTGGCGGTGTTGTTGTTGTTGCTGCTTTATATGGTGTTGTTGTATCGTCCTCTTCTGCTTCGGGTTGCTTCTTTCTTGTGTTGTGTGTTTATTTATTTATTTTGTGTATTGTTTTGTTTCATATTCTCATTCAACATTCTGGCTGGCTGGCTGACTCTTCTTCTGCAAGGCTCTCATTGTACAATTTACTCTCTCTCTCTCCCCAATCTCACTTGCTCTGTTACTCACACACATCATATGGTGGTTACTCACCACATGCAATTGGGTACTCGAAATTGACAACGAATAATTAAGCCATTGCTGAATATGTTATTATCGTTTGTCTTTCGTGCCTTCATTCGTAAACAAAAACGGTTTGTTTACAAAATATTTGCCTCGCCAGCAGTTTTGTGGATTTTGTTTTTGACAACCACAGACATTCAAAGAAAGTAAAGATTAATGCAAATGTTCTTTCGAAATGATTTGTTAAACAATCAATCTGCCATTCCACCCTGCTCTTAGGTTTGTTGTTAATTATTTAAATTGTGTTTGCCTATGCGTGACCGGAAATAAGACAAGAAATTCGTGATTGTGTCATAATGGAGGGATTATGTTAAGTCTCTTACATTAACAGAGCGGAACTACTGTAGATTTAACAGTCTCTCTTATTTTTCTTTAGTTAGAGTTAACAGTTGCACACTAGGCCTCAAACGAAATATTCTTAAATGTCTTGCGGTTAATACACATTTTTATTATTTTTATTTATTTCTATTATTACACTGTGCAACACAAAAGATAATTACAGGGAAAACTCATTAGAGTGTGAAAGAAGAGCTAAACATAGAAGACACGTGTATCGGCGTTTTGAAATATTTTATTTACAGAACATTGTAAAATTTAGAAGGTAAAGTCATTTCAATTAATTACACTCATCTCAGCATTTTCTGTAATTTACCTTGTTAAATTTCACTGAATAGAAAAAAGTTTTCCATCTCTGATTTCTGTATATACAATGGAAATGTAAATATACTTTTTGACAATGAAATGCATAATCAAATGCATAATTTTGAAAAAAAATGTAAACATATGATAAAATGACTTTATCTTGATTCTACCATGATTCAGAATAAGATCCCTTGACTTTTACATTTATTGTGTCTGTAAGAAAATATTTTAAATGAGCAGAAAAACAAAATGAAGGATTTTTCAGTCGGAAAATATGCGATAAAAAATAGGGGAGAAATCGGTCTGTTTTGCCGACAGATGTAAAACTCTTGATCCTCCATGGAGTGGGTTTGAAAGAATGGGCCAATATTGTCCTTTTCGTATCGTTAATAAATGCGATATAAATATAGCGACGTGCCACGTTTGGACTATATTGGTTACTTCCTTCACTTTATATGAGATATGTGATAATTTTTAGAAAATTTTAAAATGTGTTGAGTTACCAGATATAGTCGACCGAAGTATTCAATTTTCATACTTCATTTAATACAGATAAAAATATTGGTGTGGGCAAAAATACAAGAAAATCGAACATTTATATCCAATTTTATGCGAAATCATAAATTTCTTATTCATCTCAGGATTCTGAATGAGAGACATATATTTAAATATAGCAAGTTGTAAAGTATCGCTGAGTTGTTTTGCAATTTATGACAGATAAAAGTATTGAAAATTTTGTCCCTTTGTATGTGAGGCACCAGAAGGGGTTCGCAGATATATAGCATCTTCAAAACAGATCTTTTGTTAGCAAAAATGTTTGTATGTGTGAAATTTGAAGAGAGTTGGATGCTTATTTCGCTTTCTTTGAGCGTTTTTCAAAATTTTGATCCCTATGTGGGGCAGGTAGCAAAAGAAATGGTCCTATCTCTACCATCTTTATAACAGATTTTGTGTTGATGGAAATATTGAGATGTACCATATCTGGAATGGAATCGGATGTTGATTTCCCTTTTTATGAACTTCATGGATATTCAAAATTTTTAGCGTCCGTCTATTCCGTCTTACTATCAGACCTTGGGTTCATATCAATAGTAGGATGTGTGAAATTTGAAGACAATCGGACTCTTACATCATATTTTTTAAGAGTTATAAGTATTCAACATTTTGACCCTTTGTGGGGAAGGTACTTGATGGAATGGACTGATATTGTCCACTTTCACACCTGACCTAGCACTGATGCAAATATTTCTCTTTCTGTGCAAAAAATTTATTTTTTAAAAATTTCGACCTTTTGTGGGGGAGTGCACCGATATTGTCCATCTTAACACCAGACCTTGGGTTAATATAAATATTGGGATGTGTTAAATTTGAAAACAATCGGACTCTTAGGTCACATATTATAAGAGTTATAGCAATTCAAAATGTTGACCCTTTGTGGGGGAGGTATTGGATGGAGTCTACCGATATTGTCAATTTTCGTATCTGACTTAGCACTGATGCAAATATTAGAATTTGCAAAGTTGGAGCAAAATTGGATTATCCTTTCGCTTTCTGTGTAGTAAAATATATTTTTTCAAAATTTTCACCTTTTGTGGGGGAGGTCGCAGAAGAAGTGTACCGATATCGCCCATCTCCGAATACGTTCTAAGTTTGATAGTAATATTACGATGTACCAAGTTTTGGGCCAAATCGGATACTCCCTTCGAGAGTTGTCATGCGCACCAGCTAGAAAAACGCAGACGGACGGACATGGCTAGATCCACTCCATATGTTCTGAAACGGATTTATTCCAAAAAGACCTTGGGCCTAAAACCATTATTTCGATGAGGCTCGTTTTGGCGGTATCAAATGTAGCCATAAATTGACGTGAAAAATCCCTATTGTGTTGAGTTATTCCAGCAACTAAAATCGTTTATCTCCCAACGGACGAAATATGGCAGATACGACCGAAAATTTAAATTCCAAACTGACCATCGACCTCCGGTTTGTCTTAACAGCCTTAATGAACCTAATATGTGACTTCAGAGAAGGAAAATTGAACTAAATAAATTCGATTTTGATATAGAACATAAAAAGGGCAAACGAATCAAGTTGCTGATTCCCTCAGTCGTCTAAATGTTATTAAGTCATATGGAAAAGCAGAATAGTCCATTTCCATCGCCGATAGAAGACCACGATATTGGTAGCGATCAGCAAATATTGCACAGGTGTCAGTTTTGTAAAACATTGCTCTCTTTAACCAAGAGTAATATGAAGTTAACCCAGTGACGGAATACTCTAGATTTAAGCAATCATAAGTTCAAAAATATGAACAAAATATATGATATACAGTAGGATATAGCAAATATTTATGGCGGTATTGAAGGCAATATGCATCTTAATGAAATACCTCAATATATTTTCAAAAACCAGATTACTATTGAATTGGGCTGTAAAAATAAAATATGAAAACAAAATAAGCAATCAAATTTGAATAAGAATCTGTGTTAGTCATACTACGAGATATATTACCTTTACATGGTAAAATATGATTATTTTGTGAAAATTTTAAAATAAATAAGCTCTTACAAAAAATAGGAGTGAAATATTATTCTAGAACATACGATATGACAATTTTAAAATGTTCCAAATTCCTTAAAGATATTTGATTTTATTTTCTTTGCTTAATATGTCAACTTTATTTGTTTCAAAAATAAAAAAATGTTCAGAAAATATTCACAATCGGGTGTTTTCAAAATGCTTATTGTAATGCTTATGCATCGACAAAATCTACCGTTTTTGTAGCGAAATAAACCTTTAGAGATATATAGAACATGATTTTGAAAAAAAAAATTACCTTTCATTCAGTTTTCTCGCTTTTCAATAAGTTATTCAAAATCAACGCAACAAAAGTTGTGCTCCAGAACCTATAAATTAGTACTAATTAGTACTAATTCTGCTACAACGCGTTCCCGTACTGCAAAAACTAGCAGATCTCTCGAGAAAAAAATGGCGCTGAGTGGTGCACATTTCTGCTTGTTTTAGCTACATGAATTTGGCCGAGCAGAAATGTGCAAATTGTGAATTTGACATTTAATTGGCAGGGCTAACAAGGTTGAAAAATGTATTGATACATTTCAATGTTCCCGCGTCATAACAAAAATAAAGAAATGATCAACTTAAAAACTAAAGGAAAAACTAATATTTGTAGTGCAAAAAAAAAAAAAAACAAAAAGAGAAAATATGGAGCACTTTTGGATGATTCCAGTAGTGAAGAGGACTGGCTGAATGATGAATCAGATTATTAATTATTATTATAGATTATTAATTTTAACGTATCGTCTTCTTTTTTTTTTTTTTTTTTTTTTTTTGTACTTCAGTAGTTGTCAAGTATGTTGGTGGAACACACAGTGTTCATTCACCATTACTGGTTATTGGTTACTTGCAACCATATAAAGTACTCTCTTTATTGTTGTGAATTTCTATTTACATATGATTACATTAGGGTGTTTTTAAAAGAGTTGTAGAAAAACAGAATTAATTAAAAAAAAAGAAAAACAATTTTCGAAAAAAAAGTTGAAATTACAATTCAATTTTACATTTCTGGATAAAATTTAAGAGATCATTGAAGTGGTCTATATTCATGGACATAAGAACATCAGGTAAGTTGTTGAAATGTTTGAAAACATTGTAGTTATTTCTTTCTCTTCTAAATTTTTTGCAATTGAACAATATATGCTCCTCATCTTCGATGACGTCACAGGTTTCGCAGTGATTGGAGTCGCAAATTCCCACTCTGTGGAAGTATTTTTTGGTATAAGTATGGCCGGTAAACAGTCTATTGATTATTTTTATGCTTTCAGGTTTCATCTGCAAATGTTTGTGCCATGGTTGCTTGGGAGGATTCGGGAAAAACCGGTAAAAGTATGCACCTTTTTCAAGTGATGTCTCCTTGAAGTAATCCACAAATTCATTCCAGAGAAGTGCGTCAATTTTTTGCGATGCATCAGTAACCGAAAATTCGAAAGGTATG